TCTACCTTGGAGATTCCAGTCCCAGAATTCCTGAAGAATCTCCTTTTCTTAAAAAAAAAAAAAAGTATCTTTAAAACAGGGGTTCTCTTTATATTCTTCTAGTACAAGGGTTGTAAACTCTGGTCCAGCACCTGCTTTTGTATAGAGTTTTATTTGAATACAGTCATGCTCATATATATGTATATATATATATATATACACATTGCCTATGGCTGCTTTCACACAGCAGCAGAACTGTATGGTTGTAATTTTTGTTGTCTGCTCCTTCACACAAGAAATTTGCTGATCCATATTAGCATATTCTAAACACAGTTTTTTTGCTTTTCTTCTATCAAACATTTTGGAAGACTTGAATAACACATCCCATACCTCATATCTTTGTTCAGGCTAAGGGGTCTGGTTTTGCTTTAAAAAAAAAAAAAGAAAGGAAAGAAAACAGAAAAGAAGCCAAACAAACCAAATGCACCTTGGCTCCAACAACAGCAGCAGTGTGCGGATAAATGTTTAGCGATTTGTTCCCCAGGTAGAAAAAGCTAGGACATGGAGCACTGGAAGGGTTCCATGGTGTAGACACTGTCATCAGGGCTCATTTCAAGCTGCAGAAATGCAACACTGCTGGGCACAGAGGTGAGAAGAAATGCGCACAAAAGCCAGCATAAATCTCTTTCAGGAAACCAGGGGTGCTTGGGACACCTACGAACAACAGCCTAATTGTGAAGTCAGAGACACTGAAGTTCTGAGAAATCCAGTATGCTCTACAAGGCTAGTCCAAGAACAGACATCAGGTTGGAAGGGATTTTCCTATCCGGATGCCTGCTGCCTCATGAAGAGGTATTTCCTCCTAAAAGACAGAACAGACGAAATAAGATGAAAAGCTATTACTTGCCAGGCACATGGTAATAAATATTGGTTTTGTCAGCTTCACAGCGTAGGCCTCTGGTTTCCCTCGCGTATGCTTCTGAAGTGCTCTTTACTAGGGGTACTGTTCTTCTCGCAGGACTGTGTTTCATGTACACATGTAGACAGGGCACTGTCTCAACTGGCCAGCCCTTACCTATGCTCTCGACTGGACGTTCCAGACAGGCCTTGCATCTTTTACACCCATTAAGTTCCCAAGGTCCAGAAGAGTTGGGAACGAGATAAACACCTTCTCAAGAGGGGATTAGGGGAGGCTCCACCAGCAGTGTCGAGTCGTAGACAAAGAACACAAGTGCTTGAAGTTTAGATCCTAACCTCCTTCTCCCACCTGTGGGAACAACGGCCGTGCGCAAACCACTTCTATCAGCCCAGTGTTGACGCTGCTCCATTAGTATATGATAGCCTCTCTGGGTAGAGGATACAGAAATCTCTTTGTTTTGATATGTGTAGTTGATAATATGAATACAACTTCTATCTCAAATTTGTATAGACAGAACACAAAGCAAAGGAAAGAGTCTAATGAAGGATTCTATGCATCACACAAATGCGCTGGACAACTGCTTTCTTGCGGGGGCAGAGACAGGACTTCTGTGGCATATTAATTTAAGACGTATGGAATATTTGCCTAATGATGCAAAGACATTTTACATTTGATTAAATAAAATTAACTTGGTGTCAGGAGGTTGAGTCGGCAACTAGCTGACAGGAAGTGGTAGGGAGGATCCATGAGTAGCTGGGGTTCTTAAGTGGGGGCGGAGCAGAAGGACACTGTTTTGAGGGGAGAAGCGAACTAAGAGAAGATTAGCTACTTGTTCAGCCTCTCTAAGCCAGCCGGATTTCACCTCAACCTTTGAAGTCTGAGTTTTATAGAGGGATAGAGATCTATATAAAGAACCCTTTAGTAGCCAATAGAACCGGTGCCTGAGGAAACAGAATTCCCGCCTGGCTGTAGCCAGTGTGGCCCAACCCTACTGGTAGCAATGGAGTTGAAATTGGCAATTAGGATATCAGTTGCTTAAGGCGCAGTCACGAATTTAACGAAAAACCACAGAGGACCACTCACAGTGATAGCCAGGAACATGGAAATGAAAGAACTCAAAGACTGGGAAGCACAGCTCAAGAAATCGAAGTCTAGAAACCACAAACAGAACTGAACACAGCGGGGGAGGGGGGCAAAAGCATGCCATCCTGTCAGTCTATTTATTTATTTATTTATTTATTTATTTATTTATTTAGATAATTTGAGACAGGGTTTCTCTGTGTAGCCCTGGTGGATCAGAGCTGGCCTGACATATTGCCTATGGCTGCTTTCACACAGCAGTTTGAGAACTGCATGGTTGTAATTTTTGCTGTCTGCTCCTTTACACAAGAAATCTGCTGATCCATATTAGCATATTTGAAACACAGGGTTTTTTGTTTTTCTCTGTCAAACGTTTTGGAAGACTTGAAGAACACACCCCATACCTAGTATCTGGTCTCAAACTCAGAGAGATCCTCCTGCCTCTGCCTTCCTAGTCCTGGGATTAAAGGCGTGTGCATCATCATTGCCCAGCTCATACAGTGATATTTTAAAAATGACCTCTCAACTACTTGGTAATCTTACGTCAACCCCTATACATTTGGCACGGTCTCTCTACACACACTTCTGAGAACCCACAGGTCCTGTTTGCCACATCAGTCCTGTCAGTCCTGCAATCCTGATGCTCACATGGGTCAACTCCACAGGCACAGAAACAACCAAGGCACGCATGAACATTACTGAATTTGTAGAAGGGCACATCCACAATCAAGTGTGGGGATCCAGTACTTAGTTCCAAAGGGAGGCCAAGAGTGGCCCTGAATATCAGAGGTGGAACACTGAACACTCTCCATGGTGCTGGGTGGAAGGGTCATAAACAAGGTAATGAACCTAGTGAACTATGCCTCCCAAGCACTCGCTACCTCGATGTGTAGAACACCTAGGGATCGGCAGGGCCAGCAACACTTCCAAACCAAACGGAGATGCTACACTTTCAGGAGTATACTTGAAAGCCTCCAGTAGCTACATGACAAACCACACTGAGCAGACTGAAAACAGAAGCAGACAGATAGAAGAATCCACCTGTCGGCAGGGTGGTGGCACTCCGGAGGCAGAGGCAGGCCGGTCTAGGTGAGTTCGAGGCCAGTCTGGTTTACAAAGAGAGTGAGTGCCAGGACGACTAGGGTCGTTACACAGAGGAACCCTGTCTCGGGGTGGGGGGCGGATCACCTGTCTTCTTCTAAGCAGAGATTTGTTGGAATGTAAAACAATGTCATTCGTCATAACTTGGTTTTGAAAAATATAGGATTTTAGAAAGTGTTATGTTCTGAACCATTAAGCATATTAAGTGTCTGTAAGTTTTATTTTATACATAGCAATTATCAATAGGTACAACCCATATAACAAAGGTTCTGTTAAGTGCGCAAAAGGTCCTAAGTCCAAAAGTTCAGGAACTTCTGCTTAGAGGCTGTCAAGCGTGCTGCAGGGAGATGTGCGGTTCTTGTGTACCGGCCTGGCCGACTAGTACAGTCCCGTTCTCCTCGGGTTTCTCAATCAATCACCTTGAGTTCTGAGCCCAACCATTCCACTGAGGGGGGTCTCTCGCCTTCACTGTCCCCTCTTGGGTACTCCCTCTTCTGCCGGCACAAGCAGCCTTCTTTATCCCGTAGGCCGGGCCTGGCAGACTCCCCGGCGCGGCTTGCACAGCCAAGGCGAGAACTCCCGGGGCGCCGAGTAGAGCCACTCCCAGTCCAAAGCGACGCAGGCTGTGGAGCGGGCGGAGAGGTCACCCCAGGAACGAGCTCCGCGGCCTCCGCCAGCTCGTCCTCTGTCCCCGCGGTCTGCAACGTGAAAAGGCCTGCATGGACGCTCCGGGCCCGCGTGGTACTCACCGCTCACAGTGGGGCTCCGCGATCACACAGCCGGCTGCTATCAAGGACCCAGGCCGACTCGGCGCTCCTCCCGTTGAGCGGTCCTCCGGACGCTCCTGCTGCGAGGCGGGACCGTGAGTGGAGCGGGCCGGAACCAGCTGCAGCAGGCGAGGGGCGGGGCCTGGGTCTCGCCACGCCCAAAAGGGCGGGGTCCGAACACCTCCTCCCTTTCAGGAGGAGCCTGGACCACCATCCTTCGGAACCCTAAGGGACAAGGAGGAGGGGCGGAGTCTAGGACCTATCCTGCCCCAAGGGCCTGAACTTGAAGCTAAGACCAAGGGGCAGAGCCTGGGACACCTCTTCTTTCCAGAGCCCGAAGACAGGCCGCGATCGAGGGGCGGGATCGGGGATCTACCCCGCCCCGAGGGCCGGTCCGGTTTGCTGAGACTGAATAGCGGAGCCTGGGTCCGCCCGGCCCAGTTCTCAGATCCCGAGAATCTAGGCCCCGGGCGGGGGCAGAGCCTAGGACCTGCTCCGCCCCGCTCCGTACAGTCCCAGACCGGAGGGCCTGAAGCTGAAGGCCTAGGAGCTTTGGCCCCAGATCCTCCCAGCTCCGCCCCATAGGCGGGAGAAACTGGACCTGGGGCTGCGAGCTGCTTTGTTAGTGGCTTAGTCCCAGGAAGTGCTTAGCCGATTTGTAGGCTTTTCCTTGTCTGGAGCGTGGAGAAGGCTGACTGTCGCTCACGTGGCGCAGGGTGTAATGTGTAATTGCCTGACTGGCGCAGGGAGTCCGAAGAAGAAAGGTATCCTTTCTCCGCCTTTCGTTTAAAAGCTTGGCGGTCACTACAGACTTCATTTTCCGAGTGCTTCAGTACACTACATAATCAATCATCTCCCTGTCTCCAGTTCCGCCCCTCTCCCATGTCCTTCATTTTTTGTTCTCACCCCAATTCTTGTTTAGTTTGGGGTTCTTCGTGGGATTTTAGTTGTCTTGGGTTTTTGGTGTAGCTTTGAGAAAGAATCCTATGGGGCCAAGGCGGACTTCGAGCTCACTGTTGGAACTCTATGTGACCTTGAACTCCCTGCACCTTTCTAGAGTCGGGATTGCACGTGTGCCCCCACCACGCCCAAGCCTTGAAAAAGACGGTTTCTCTGTTTTTTTTTTTTTTTTTTACTTGGACAGGGCATGGGAAGTGAACATCAGGAATACTCTGTAGAAATAGGACCTCAACATTTCTGTGGCTTACCCAGAAAGGCAGAATTTCTATGTATAAAGTTAATTTGTAGTATTGCTTGAATGAGCAACATATAGAGTGAATGACTAGGAACTAATGACAAACACCTGGCCAGAGATGGGTGTTCCGCTGCTCTAGGTTGCTCCCTTAGTGTTGAAGGCCCCGAGTTCCAGGGACTCATAGGCTGGGTTTCAGTTCCAAGCTGTCAAAGCTGGAGGCTTATTATTGCTTCAGGTACTCAAGGCAGAGGCCCGTTGCTCAGGATGTGGAGTGCCCAGCAAACAGTAGGTAGACATCCATGCGAGGGTGGGTTTTGGTGATGCAGCTGTCTTTGAGTCATTTTTGCTCACATATCTTTGTATGTAACACAAATAAAACTAATTGGTCCACCAAGTTGGACTTTGACAGTATCCGCCCTTTGGTCTCTCATCAGTTTCCTGTCTGGCATGAGTAGGCACTTGTTCTCATCTGCCCAGGAATAGTGTCTCAGCTTTTCCCCGTGGCATCTATGGTGCATTTAAAGCAGCCACAATGCCTCGAGGACAGCCTGTCAGTTGCTGAGGCGAGTTGCTTGGTAGGTAGATCCCCACCCATGGCAACTGGGTACAAAGGAACACGTTTGATAGCTGTCAGTCTAAAGATCAAAGCTTTCTGGCCCTTAAACAGCTTTACTTAAGTGAAAGTAAGCATTTGAAATGTGCTTGTGATAAAGTCGTAATATTGATCTTTAACGGTGCTTAAACTCTAGCCAGGTGTCCATGGGGGAAGAGTTGGTCCTTTGCAGCTGTCTGGCCAGTCTATACAGTAGCTGAAGGGGACTCCAACACAGTGCTATTAATCAAGGAAGAAAGTTAAAGTGTCTGCTTTCCAACTGTGGCAGAGAAACAGCAGAAAATGACCTTGTAAGTGTAAATTTGAAGGGCAGAAAAAAGAGGGGAGGTCTGTGTTAGAATGACCTAGGACGCTGTGGTAGAGGAGACAGTGGATGGGGGAGAAAAGGACGGGGACAATGGGAAGGGGGTAGGAGTATTTGTCCTGGAGGGACAAAGGACTGTCTCTGAATAGAGAGGAGACAGGCATGGCCCAGGCAAATGGTAGTTTGTAAAAGTAAAGGGGGAAACCCCATGTTAGGATGAGGTGTTTAATTTCAGCTGGGCATGTTAAAATTAAATGGAGGCTTCTGATTGCTAGACCCCAATACTCTGATAGCTGGTCCTTGGTAGTCAGCCTCAGCAGGAGGAAGTGGCCACAAATAAGGAAATAGAACTTGGTGGCTAGCTTTATAAAAGCAGTCTAATGGAACTGGGGTGAAGGGCAAGGCATACCAGAGCCACATGTGATACTGCTACCATGGACTGCGTCCATGGTTGAATCTTTACAGGTCATTCAGTTCAGCGCTTCCAACCTCACTGAAGAGCTGGCAGGTATGAAGTGTGCCGCGGTGGATTCAGTCGTCAATGTATCTGACTCCTGTGCTTCCATACACACCTCTCCCATCATGCTACACAGCGTTGTGGAGTATTATAATTACCATGGTTACTTATAGAAACAGGCAGGCATCAGATAAACTGGGAATGGACTTCAGCCACCGTGCAGCCTACAGTACCTTATTCACCTGTTTTCAGCCGTGTTCTCTGACTGTAGCAGAGACAACCTAGCTGTAGTCTGTAGTTTAGGAACACCCACGTAGACAGTCTTCCTGGGTGGTGGGGTGTTAGAAACGGAGGGCAGATCAACTGTGAATCTCAGGATGGTTATATATCCCTAAGTGTCTAGTATCCTTCATGTATGTTAATTTGCTAGATTCATTGTAAATGCATGCTTGTTTGTCTTTTTTTTTTTTTCCAATGTCAATAGGAAAATGTCAGGATTGATCTACCAAATCTATCCAGGCACGGAGATACAATGCCATAACCCAAGGCAGCCGCTGCTGATTTATGTTTCCAATGACGTAATTTGGTAGCATTGGCAAATGAAAAGAGAAAACCCAGCAAATTTGTTGCTTACCTGGCTCGTTTCTATTTCCAGCTCGTGAAAAATGGCTTCCACATGTAGGTTTAAGGGCTGGGAGAAAAATAGTTGGGGGCTGGTTGTGCAGCTCAGTTAGCAGAGTGATTTTTGACACGGAAGGACCTTTTCATCATTCTCCTCCCATTCTTGGTGACAAGAAGTAACAGCTGCAATACAGACTAAAACATCTGGTCCATTCCAAGTTCAACCATGAAGGCACCAAGATTAAGTGAACAGCAGCGCGGTCATCTGCTGCCCTCTGCTGACGGAATGTGAACATGCGGTAAACACATTGTCATGCGGAAAAGGCGAGTGTAGTTTTAGCATCAAGAGAGTAACACTAAAAGAAAAAACGTTAATGGGAGCTGGGGGGGGATGCTTAAGAGTGTATACTTAGGACTGGAGAGGGAGGGGAAGAGGGAGTGGGGGGAGTGGAAGGGAAATGGGAGGAGGGGAGGAGGTGGAAATTTTTAATAATAATAAAAAAAGAGTGTATACTGCTCTTGCACATGACCTGAGTCCAGTTTCTAGTGCCTATGTCGAGTGGCTCACAAAGTCCTGTAACTCCAGCTACTCCAACATCTCTGGCCTTAATGGACACATCTCACTCAAATATACACGCATGCATGCACACACTAAAATAAATCTTGTTTTTAAAGAATAAATAATTAACAGATTAATGAACTTTCTGTCCCTGAAGACTGTGTTCACTGACTGTCCCAAAGGTCAGACTAGAGATAAAAACATTTAGTCAGCAAGTTGACTTTGCTAAGAGCTTGGTTTTGTGGGTCCCAGAATGATTATGACTGCATTAATTAGTAACCGGGAGAGTTATTGCTGTTATTATCTTCCCCGCATCCTTTGTTTACCATTTTAATGTTTACCCAAGCTTGGACAGTGTTCATCTTTGACATATCAAAATCTAACGTTGATTGTGACTTTCGCTTTTTTCTGGTAATACCTGGTTTGTGCCACATCCTAACCACTTGTCATTTCTGTGCCATCATTGCCTGGTATGTTATGCCCTTAGATGCTAACTCTTCAAGGCATTATTATTGTTTTATGTGCTTAATATTTATTAAGACTTACTCATACACTGCCTAGCTTTGTTCTTCCTTCATGCCCAGCTTCCTTTGGAGGTTCTTGGCTCCTATGCGGTTAATAATATTTCTTAATATTTTCTCTAATAGCTGTTCACTGCTGACAGTCTTTCACGGGGTTCCTTTGAGGAGTATTTCCCTTCCTCCTTCTTTCCTCTGCCCATCTTTGTTCTCCCTCCACTCCTTCCTTTTTTTCTGTTTCCACAGGATTAACTCAGGCTAGCTAACATTGTGCTCAATGTGTAGCTGAGGAAGACTTTGAACTTCCAGTCCTTCATCTACTTCCCGAGTGTCGGAATCACAGGCCTGGATTGCCAGAAATCACACCCAGGGCCTCATTCCTGCTAGGCAAGCGCTCTACGGACTGAACTACAACTCCAGTCCCTGATTATATTTTTTCCCCACCTCTTAAAAATGGCCAGACCTTCTGGCTACCACAGTGTTTGTTGAGAGGTCTTCTGTTAGTCTAAATCTCCCTTCTCTGAAGGTTGATTACTCTGGGATATTTTTAACGATCTGTTGTCTTATTTCCCTGTTTAGTTTGACATTTCTAAGAAGTCGTTCAATTTTCTGCTGGAAATTCTGTCCTAGTTGGCTTCTGTTGCTATGATAGAGCACTGACCAAAAGCAATGTGGGGAGGAGGGGCTTTACTTGGCTCTCACTTCCATGACACAGCCCATCCTTGAGGGAGGTCAGATGACTGGTAATTCATTCCAGCTCGAAGAAGAAACTACTATAAGGAGGAAAAAGGATTTTTAAAAAATTTTTTTTGAATAATCACGTGTTTAGGGAGAACCAGGGAGAAATGCTGCTTACGGACCTGCTTCCCAGCCTTGCTCACCTACCTCTCTTATACAGTTGAGGCCCAGGTGCCTATGAATTGCACTGCCCATAGTGGTCTGGGCCCTACCACATCAATCAGCAATCCTGAAAATGACCCAGAGACCTGTCCCCAGGCCTATCGGATGGGAGTGATTTCTCATCTGAGATGACTTCTTCCCAGCTATGTCTAGGTTTATGTCATGTGGACAAAAGTTAACTATGACAATACTTATAAGGTTTGAAAATCTTCTTCATAGCCAGGCAGTGGTGGTGCATGCCTTTAGTCCCAGCACTCAGAAGGCAGAGGCAGGTGGATCTCTGTGAGTTTGAGGCCAGCCTGGTCTATAAAGGGGGTTCCAGGACAGCCATGGCTACACAGAGAAACCCTGTCTCGAAAAACCAAAAACGAAACCAAAATAAAGCAGAAATTGTCATGTGACATGAAGAAGGTGGACATCTGGCTGGATATGCTGCTGAGTTGGCAACAATGACATACTTCCCTTGACATTTCCTAGGTTACGGGACAAGGCACGTGATTATTCAAAAATTAAAAAAAAATCCTTTTGCTTCTTTATAGTAGTTTCCTCTTAGAGCTATAATGAATTACCAGTCGTCTAGAAGGTCAGAACACTATTAACTTTTGTCTTATGTTTTGTGCAATGGAAATGTGAAATGGGCTGAGGCCAAATTGTTGCCAGAATTGTATTCCTCCCAGAGTGTGCAGGGAGAATCCCCTCCCTTTCCTTTTCCTGCCGCCAGTAACCCCGTGTGTTCTTTGCTGTGGCCCCTTCCTCCACCTTCAAAGCCAGCAGTGGCCATCGTCTCTGACCTCGCTCTCTCCACATCTTCTCCAGCTCTGGCTCTCTTGTTGTCCTTTTATAATTAGGTTCTCTGGGATTACCTGGACCCATGCCAGCGAGATTATCCTTATTCTTCACCTCTCCTGATCTACTCTAGTCACAGCTGCGTGATTCCTTTGGCCAAGTTAAGTGTGGCCAACTCAGTGCTTCCTGCTGAGACACAGAGCCATTGTATGTGTTGCATTCTCCTAGATCCCTCTGCTTCATCACAGGCAAAGAGGGCCGGAGCAACAGGATGTCGTCCCTGCTGCTTTCTGTATCTTCCCGTGGAGACTCCCAGGACTCAGACACCTTGCACCTTCTTCAAGATTCATGAAATAATAGCAGGTTTTATCAACTGCAAGAGGAGAAAATACCAAACCTTGATGGGCATCTGAACTTTATTTCTTTCTTCGTCAATATTTGAATATCTTTATTAGCTACTTGGTTTTTAGCTTTTTTTTTTATTAACTATTTGGTTCCTCTTAGGTCTAATTCTTCTAGAAAGGACAAAATAAACATTTATATACTGCCAGTTTTCAGAATAATAAGCTGAATCCCTATGAGTTTTGGAAGAGACCAGTGTGCTTTTCTTAGTGGGATGAACTCATGAATCTAGGCATGTTGGCTTCAAATAGCTGCACCATCATTTTGACTGTTGCTTAAATTAATCTAGTCTTACTCAGTGGGACTATTTTCAGGTTGGCTCCTGAGTCACCTTTAATTGCTTCCATCTCTCACTCGTTTTGTCCGATGTATTTCCCAGACCTAGCACCTGCCAATTCTCCAGGAAGCCCTGTTTCCTTTTAGTGGGAAATGGTTTTTAAAGACTGTAGTCTGAGCACTGTGGGACTCACTGCTGTCTAGTTGATCTCTATAGAAACAATACCTTTAGCTTTTTTTTTTTTTTTTTTTTTGCTTAAACAGAGTTTAACTCAGAGGTATCTGGCCAAATAGAACTGTAGTTCAACACCAAAATCAGGGTATAAAATAGTAGATTTGAATCTGAGAGGCAGCAGTTTAATTCCCACAGGTACAAGTCTCCATATGAAGTAATATTTTTTTAATTTATAAGCAAAATAGTATGTATTTGTATATAAAGTTATAGCCTTATGTTTTTATGTATGAATACATGATGTATGATATATGAATAGATAATTAAGTTACTTACCATAGATTATTCATGTATATTTTGGTGGTACAAGCACTTAAAATTACTCTGAGAAATTTTAAGCGTGCAGTGTATTATCATGTGTCACCAACACATAGACCTCTTTAATTGAGTTGTCCCTTTTGTGAGAATATTGTCCCTTTTGTGAGAATATAGTTATGTCTTTGACATAATTATTTCAAATTTATTGGGAATGTACCTGGTATTGGGATTTCTGAATCACAAACAGTTCTATGATTTTTTTTGGGGGAAATACCAATGCTATTTCCATAATTAATGTCTCTTTCCTCCAAAGGAATCAGAGTTGTGGCTCAAGGGCAGAATGCATACTTGGCACACATAAGACATGGGGCTCAATTTCCATTACTGAAAACAAAATAACCTCTCCTCTCTCTCCAGAGTAAAACAAAAGCATTCCCAATAATGGCATATAGGTATTTCCATCACCAATTAATGCTTTGTTAGCTATTAGATTTTTGCCATTAGCCAATAGGTAATTAATTGTCATGATTTTAATTTTACACATGGTTGGACAATATAGAATAATAACAAAATTTACAATAGTTTCACTATTCATATATAATAGAATGAATGTTTATTCTTCACAACTTTGCAACTATATAGAGACACAGCTGACAGAGACAGTGATTACGAGTTACTCTATTAGTGAGCAAGATGGGCTAACCCTCTATTGCATAAGTGACAGATACACTTTTTGGGGAGTCATGCTTTGTTTTCAACATAAAAAGTGCAGATTTTTTTTTAATCTTTGTAAAATTTTACAAACCAAAGGCTGGAGAGATGGTTCAGTGGCTAAGAAGGCTTGCTGCTCTTGGAGGACCTGAGGTCAGTTCCCAGCACCTATGTTAGGTGGCTCTCAACTAACTGATAAACTATAACTTTGAACTGTGGGCAAAACCAGACCTGTTTGCTTTCCACCATAAATTGCTTTCATTGTGTGTGTGTGTGTGTGTGTTTTTAAAGAAATCACAGTAGAAAAATTAACTCATGTGTTATCTTGTCTTCAATTTGATTTCCTCTTAGAAAATATATATTTCCTTATTCTTAGTTCAGGAAACCAATGCATTTCACCATACTTTGCCCTAAGAATCAAAATGTAAATAAAAACATTTCTTAGGTGTCCCAGTAGTTCATATGTGTCAAATCTCAAAGAATATTTCCTGCCGAGGAAAATTATTCAGACCCATGCTTAACATTCTAGATATATTATCCATTGGGTTTTGCTGTGTTGGATGGAAATCTGTAGAGGCTAAGTTACATATAAATAGCAGTGTTATTAACAGTCACAAAATTAATGAGACCAGTAATGAGCTCAAATGTGTAAAATGCCAGGGTTAGCATAAGCACCACGATGCCTCTGTGCATGGCATTTTTATTTTGCCACAGGGAAAAGTTCTGTGAGCTAATTCCCTAAGCCAAGCCAATAAATTATTACTGCAATT